CACAAACCTACCCAGATCCGCCATTTTGAAACTTCATTATCATCTCTCGATTCGGTGGTGCGCCTCGTCTATGAATCATGCGATTGTATGGGGCCCAAATATGCGGGTTTTACCCAATTTTAGGTTAATCGTAAATGCCAAAGCCCGGGGCATCATTGTTGCACCATAATCGCAGATCATTCACCGATCCGGGACTCGATCATCGTTTGAGTCACGTTTTAGGTAGTCACGATTTATTCTGCCCGTGACACTAAAAAGCAAAAGATACCAAGTTACAAGAAATATTTTTTGTAAAAATTTTTTTGGTCGCATAGTGATAGCGTGATGTATTACAATTAATCAGAATATGAAATCAGGTGTAACGTGATATTGTTTTTGCATGCTGATTGGTCAATTTTAAAGATCGGTAAAATAAATTTCAGAAAATTTTTGATGGTCCCTGACTTGCTGTTGTAAAACAATGTCCCTTAGACAATAATAATATATAAAAATAAAAATAAATTAAAATTATATATAATAACAAAAATTTTTTGCTAAATTTTACTATAGACCCTACTTTAATCCCAACTTTACACCTAATCTTAACCTAACTACAAATAATTTGATTTAATTTTTATATACAATATAAAAAATAAAAAAGTAATACAGTATATATAATAATTAAGTTGATATATATATATTCAATATATATATATAAAGATAATTTATAAAATAATAAAAAAACAATTTAAATATCCTCATCTATATTTAAGCTTTCATAATTATCCTTGGTTTTTTTATCAACTTTTTGTCGTTTTATAATATTTACTACTTCTGGGTTTTGCCGTTTGTACTTCATTCTAAATTCAGATTTAACTGCCCAATCAGAAGCATCTATTGGAAGTATTGGATTTTCAATATAATAGGTTTTATCATTATACCGTTTTTCCCGGTATAATGGTGCTGTGCGATGTGCTACTGTGTCTAGCACTTTTTTTAGAAGCCCTTTTAGCTATTAATTATATTAAAAGTAATAAGAAAATATGCAAAAAAATGAATTTTATTAAACTGATTATAACACTATACCATTCTCCGACCTCCTGGCAAATTATAATAGTTTATAATTTTCTTTTTATTTCTGTCTTCATCTTCAGTATCGGATATTTCTAGAGAGTATATATCATGAGAGCATATTAGACCTTGTAATTCTTCCGATTTATATTTTTTAATTAAATAATTATCGGTATTTATAATGAATTTTAAGGCCTTTGCTCATCGTAACATTTTCTATATAACAAAATGAATTATTTATAAATTTAACTAAATTTTAAAATAATTAGCAAATAACATACTTCTGAGATATGATTGTTTTTATGTGTTCTTTTTTTAAAATCTTTATTTTTTTTAGGGTTCATTTTGACTTTAAGTAAATTCCTTTGCGATGTATGTCTTTGTTTTAAAATTTGTAACAAATATTCATCTGTTACATTGTAATGAATTGCTAGATTTTGCAGTAAAGGAATTGTATTTTCTCTAATTGATTTTTCTTGATCACACCAAGGTTTTTTGATACTAAAACCATATTTTGGCCTCTTTTCTTTTAATATATCAAATATTTTATACTAATATAATTTTAAAGAAATTAATTTAACTGAAAAATAGCTTTTAGAAATTATACAGTAATTAAAATTAAAAGTTTACCCTTAGTTCTTTTCGTTTGTTCTGATCTATCTTATTTTTTGAATCGTTTTTAGTATTATTGAATTGTATATTATTTTCAAAATTTTCAATTTTGTTTTCTAAATCATCTATATAATCGTAATTGCTTTCTATTTCTTTTTGAAAATTTTTGTTATTGTCCTCTAATATACGTATATAATTTTCACGACTTTTTGCTATAGCTTGCA